TCTGCGCCTGCTGAAAACAATTTCGAGCCATCCTATGAAAAATAAAAGGCTTTTTCTTACTTTGCTCCAGGAAACCGAAAAAACAGGCTGCTCGTGTGTAATACTAGCCTTCGGTGAAGAAGTGCCCCCAGTCATTTGATAAACCCTGACCTATAGCAATAAGAACCCCCAAAATAGCCACCTGATTGTCCCACGATGAGACGGCCACAAAATCCGCAACCGGACACACTGAAATCTGGGAGACGGTATCAGTCGGACCCGGTACAATCTGAGCGTCTTCAGACGAGGACATGGAAGTTATAATTTGTAAAATTTAAGCTCGTTATGGCTCCAGATTTGAAATTAATTACTCAACCCTAACCCCTTTTATAATGTTGCTTGGTAACCATTAACACGCAAATATTTAATTTGTGCAGTATTTTTTAAAAAAGCCGTAAAAAAGGGGAAATAAACTTTTACTTCCATTACACCACTTGTAATCAGCTGATTAAACCACCTCAGAATTTATTTTACAAGTAATTTAGCTTGTGCAAAGAGTAATAAGCAACACGATTCGAGAATAGGTTGAGTTAGGTAAAGAGATCTCTGCCTCAAAAGACTGTGGGTTGATTGACGTGCCAACCAGAATTTAGCAAGTTCCGATTGTAATCGCTAGAAAAGTTTGCCGAACCAACAATGGCATCTCTATCATTCGAGAGAAACACGAGCAAAGAGAAACATCTACACTGGTACCACTTTTGCATTATGAACTTTTGAAAGTTGATTTTAGCCCTAAATCTTTGGAACACCTTTAAATCTCCAGAAAGGCGTGTCTTTGAATTCAGGGTTAGGATTATAATATTTCTAGCGACACGTTGCAGATCAGGGTTAGGGTTTCATTCCGATTTTGCAGAGTTAAAATCCTAAATTTTCCGTTGCATTTTAATAAGCAATTCTGAGTGGGTTCTTTCACGTTGCAATCAGATCAACTAGCCTGATGACTCATTTATATTTTTAATGAAACTCAGCGGCTTAAACCTTATCTTTCTTGCTTTAGTCCTTTGACTTCCTTAACTTTTTCTTGTGGCGCTAATAAATGTGACTCGGTTTTGTTACTAACCGGATCATTTATTCTTGTTACTGTTTTTTCTTTACATATTATTCCTATTTTCCCCCCGGGATTTGAACAGGTTAAATATGCTAAGCAATTGGAAGTCATCAGATACACAAAAGACCAATCTGCCGATCTTGTGGATGCAGATGATTCTTATAACCAAACCAGAACGTCCTCCCCTGATCTGAACATAACAACTTTCATAAATGGAAACGCTGCACACGAAAACTTGGGCGTACACTCTGGCACCGATAACATTCATTCAGATATGGATAGTTCTGAGACTTCAACAACTACATTTCCAGTTAAGACCGTAAAATTCTACACTCTTTCCTCAAATCTGGCAAATATGTCTGCAGAAGAACTTGATCATTACAAACTAGCTGTTTCCTTGAATTGGGATATATCTAAATGGTTTTTTAACTTTGAATTTAGTTCTGAAATGGAGCGCTCTTTTGCCATTTCTTCCTTTTATTTGGGTGCAATGTTTATATCTGTGGTTACGATATTTACTTCGAAATTCAGCACCAAAGCAAATCTTATTCTCAGCTCTATAATTCTCATTTATGGAGGAGTGCTTTCTGCTGTTTCCCCCAATTGGATTCTTTTAACTATTGGGCGTTTTTTTCTTGGAATGGGTAGCGGGATTGCTGGCACAATGACTCCAATTTTCTTTACCTATTTCGAAAATGTTGCCGGTTCCGAGTCCATAGCCAAGGGTTTTAGGGACTTTTATCCACTGCTAATTCCAGGAGGAATACTTCTTGCTGGAATCCTGCAACAGTATTTTCTGAACATCCATTATTTGGCCTGGAGAATTCTTAATGGTGGAACTGCATTCTTATCAATTATAGCTATTTTATTTCTATTGCCGAAGGTTTCTCCACAAAATGTGGATTCTGAGGATATGGCGAATGCTACTCAACCTTTGATGCAACAAACCGCCCCTAAATCTAGCTCTAGCCTTTTGAATACGATTTTTGGCGAAGGAAGTAAATCGGCTATAGTTATCATCTGCCTCCATATCTTTCAGCAATTATCTTTCATCAACGGATATTTTTCTTACACAAAAGAGATATTTGGCGACCTTCCGAATATTTCTATCCTTTTGGGCGTTGCAAATGTTGCTGGAACTTTTTTAAATGTTGCAATTAACGTACCGAAAAACAAGAAAGACACGAAAGACCAGGAAAAGACTTGCAATAATTGTTTCGTGGATTTAGCAAATAAGATTGATACAAAATACATCGGGGCAATCAGTGGGGCTGGAACTGCAGTTTTTTCATGGGTGCTCTTCCTTGGGTTGTTTCTAGATATTTCAATCGTAAAATCTGTTTCTGGATTCGGCTTTATCTTTTTTTTTGCTCTTGGATTTGGACCTATCCCTTGGATGATTAATCCAAAAATCACACCTGAAAAGTTTCAGAAAGCTTATGGTTCATTAGGATCAATAGTGAATTGGCTACTTTCTTTCATGATCACCCTTTTCACAAACAAGATTCTTTCCTCTTTAAATGAGTTTGCATTTCTTATTTTTGCGGTCTTTTGCGCTGCTTTCGCGCTGATTATGGCATTCTATGTTCCAAAATTAGACACAAGACCTGCCGAGTTTCTCCCCAGCAAGTCTTTTTTCAGCAAAGTTTGTTGCTGTAAAAGTGATGCTAGCTTGGATGATGATTTTTCACATGAACAAGCTAAAAATCAAATCCAATTACAACCTACTGATACTGTGCCTCCTGGGGCTGAGGCGTAGGAATCATAGGCAAGCTGGTTGAAAATTTAGGGTTTAATAAATTGGATATTGAAATTATTTGATGTCGTCGTATACAATTGATGGCCGCACCTATAGCCTGATTGGTAAAATCGGGCGCGGTTCCTCGTCAAAGGTCTATTTGGCCCGCCAATTTCCAGATAATCTGAATGTTTCCCTTAAGCTTGTACAAAGTAGCGATTTATCATTTAGATATCCTCCTCCTCAACAATCGACGTTGCAAATGAGGTTTTCATCCATCAATTGTTGAGTGCGAGGCCAAATCGAGGGATTGTCCTTTTGATTGCGGCCGATGTGTCCAACCGGATTATTGTCTCAGAATACTGCCAGCGGGGAACGCTTTCACAACATCTGTTTTCGTCTGGCGGAATCCTATGCGAAGCAGAAGCCAGGGCATATCTGTTCTCAATTGCAGCGGGAATTGCCTTTATGCATCGGCATGGGTTTCTTCATCGAGACATTAAGCTTTCAAACATTCTCTTGACCACGGACTGCATGGAAGCTGTAAGCTTATCCCTCAAATTGGCATATAGAAACTGGCCGATTTTGGGCTTTCAATCGCCGAGGAGAACTTGATTGCCGACTCCTACCCAATGAGGTGTGGAACACCGGCATATTTAGCTCCGTATTGGCTTTTATTTTATCATGTAGGGAGATACTCTCGGCTGAAACGGCCCGCTATTCATATCCCATTGATATGTGGTCATTTGGCACCGTTGCATACAAATTGCTGACTGGAAATTTTCCCTCTCCCCCGATTCTTTTTGGCAATTTGGCGGGACGGGTTTCACAACGTGCCATCTCGTTCCTAGCTGCCCTGCTTTCCGAGGACCCCCATACTCGAGCAACGGCTGCTGAAATCCAACAGCACGCGTTCCTTTGTCACCATCCACTTTTGAACATATTCACTGAAAACCAGCTTCACCGGCTACAATCGAAGGCCCTTCCGGACATTAATTTTGCCCCGCTATCTTTGAGGTTCTCTTCTCAAAAGGCATACAAAACGACGCTTGGCCAATTGACAATCGGGATTCTGACGCCGCATTGCTCCCCTAAGCAAGACCTCTCAATGGCATCATCACCACATGATCCCTCGCCCCGTTCGTCTGTTTTTCTTTCTTTAGAAAATAATATCACCTTTGAGGTCAGCCAAAAAATGATTGTATCAATTTGGATGAACAATCAACTCAAAGCTACATGGAAAAAATGCACGCTGCCTGCTCCGCTTGCCCCGATATTTTACTACATCTACCGGGTGGTCTCGAAAGTTCTCTCTAAAATACCAAAAGCCGTCCTTCTCTTGGAAAAAGATGCCATTTGTGGCATCCTCATGTCAAATGGCCCATTTGAGGACTTTTTGTTCCAGAATGGAACATCCGGAACGAATATTTACCGAATTGTACCGAAAATGTCCAAAATATTTGTTTACGACAGTTTTGATGACCATGGATCGGGTGCACTTTTATCCGATATCGCCAAATCATCTCTCGCTAAAAGATCCCAAATTGTGATCAGGAAAAAGCCCGTAAGAGCGATTTCAATTGAAACCAGCTTTTCATTCCAGTCCCCACATCATCAAGATCTTTGCAATGCATCTATGGCGCTCAATTTGCATGCAAAACTGCTTCGTCTTGTGCAATCTTCAAAAAAACTGGGCGTGCATCCCCTAATTTTTGTATCATCCGCGTCGCTGGCTTCGTATCCACTGCCCCATCATATTTCAAGCCATTCTGTTGGCAGCAAAAGTAGAGAAGAGCAGCTGTATTCTTCAATGGACTGCTTTTCCGGGTTTTCCGCAACATCTGTAATGGCTTGTTCAGCCTCCTCGCCCCTACATATAGCCGCGTGTACAAGGGACCCAAACGGGGTCTTTCATGTCTTTTTTTCGGATAATTCTATGCTGTACATCATTCCCGAACGTTCACTTTGCTGGAACAAGGATTTAAAAGATTGGATGACAACGGAAACCCCTTTACTTGATAACGACATCAAGGCACGAGTCCAGCTATTTTCCCAGAATTTTTTCAACTTTGGGATGGCGCCAACGGACTTTATCCCTAAATGTGGAATTGAATCCCAATATTGCGATTCTCTGTTTGGCGCAAGGCAAGTGTAAATGAATTTGCATTCTGCCACGTAAAAGACGGCCTGATTATTCGGTCATCTTTTGATATCAGCTGCAGCGTCTCAGGATTATTTCTTCCTTTGGCATTTGCGGAAGATGAGCTGCCAAAAGCATACTCTAAGCACGGCTTTATGGTAGACGTTGCGAACAAAGAAAGGATGTTGGATGAGGACAGCCTCCAAACGCATACGGACCGGTATGAAGAATGGGCGGTTTTGGGTTTTTCCATGTTGGCAGCGCTAACTCGATTTGTCAGCGCGCAAACATGGTTGGCGTCTGGTGAGAGCGAAATGACGGAAGCCCTGGCACAAATGGAAGATTCGAGAACAAAGCTTTTTGTTCCTGTCTTCAAGTCATAAATGACAATTGGCCCTCGGTCGTTTGCGACGGCATATTTTTGCTTCTCCGAATGGAAATCTATAAACGGATATGTCTTAAAACAAGCATAGAGAAATTTCGAGCAAAGTGGAAGAACCTTTTCGCGAATTTCCATGAAGCTTGGATCCAGTAGCTTCATGATGGCATCGATAAAGTATGGAAGGGCGGCGGATAGGGAAACCGGAGACTTTGACAGCATTTGAAGCAAAAACGAGATGGTGGCTTGGAAGCTTGCGATGCTTCTTGAAGAAAGATGGTCATGAATAAAGATTTTGACAAGCTCTGAATGCGTCTCGATCATTCCGGGCGAAAAAAGCTTGTGAAAAATTTTGTACAAAACCTCTGAATGTTTGGGCGAAAATTGCGAAAACAGAACATGGATGAGCTTTGAAATGTTGATAAAGGGGAAAAAAACATCCAGCCCATCGCCGATGATATCCAAGGCAGTGAGTGGGGCCAGGCAATTGCCCTTCAGCGACACCGAGGCAAGCTCCAAGAGGGATTGGCAAAGGGCCCCAATCATCCTGGGAGTTGATAGCTTCGGGTGGAGCTCTGGATGGTACTTGGCACAGATTCCAAGAATTATGGGGATGTAGTTGCCCCTTTTTTTGTGGCCCAATGAAAAGCTTTTGTCGCGGCTTTCTTTGCCAGAACACGCATCGGTAAAGTCTATGCGTAAAGATACAAAAAGATGCAAATACAATTTTTAATCCACATATCAACGAGGTCACCATAAGATTTGGAACAAGGAGACGAAAAAACCTTGAAAAACAACAGTCTCGCTGCACAGGAAATGTATGCTAGGCCGTAAAAATTGAAACGGCCTACTGCACCCGATCGTCCATTTTAGTATGAAATAAAACAGCGACGGCGAATTGTGAAAGTGTACGCTCTCGCTGCTCGCGCCCAAACAGGTGTCGTGCTTACCCCTAAAAAAGGGCAATACCCCATGCGTATAAAACTCTTTAAGGGGAGCAACATCTAGTTGGTGATTATCGACCGGCACAGGTAATACCTAGCACGTTTTCTAACTTGAAGATGATTGCCAAAACGATCAGCAAAGAATGGGAAATCGAATAAGGTGACATGTGCGCATATGACGATTTATCTTTTCTGATGATGCTGATGCTTTCAGAGCAACTGGAGCATTGAGAAAAGGAAACCTACCCTTGCAAACAGGCAGCCTTGGAATAATCCGCTGAAAAGCCCATCTGCATCAGAAATTGATCCGACGCCTCATCAAGGTCCCAAAAATGCCAAATCGACAGGAAAGACAGGATGCAGTGAATCGACATTGGCAAGTTGAGATCCAAATTCAAAACAAGCTCCAAATCGGTAGATTCGGAGATAAACTCGGACTGAACTCTTCGCTTGCACATTGCCCTTTCGGGATTGGCTATGCTAGCGATTAAAAACAAATGCCAACGAGTGGATGGTGTGCAATCTGCTGTTTCTAACGCCATTGGACTCTGGATGGGAATATATGCGCTGTAGAGAAAAGTTCTAACCCTAATGACTTTGTGGTCGGTTACCTGGTACTCGTATATGCAATGCATCTCAGTAACAAAGTAAATTATTTCTGGATTGCTTTTGTCGGAGCACACACTGACAAAGTTGTCGTTTTGAGGCCCCGAAATAATGGCACACGTGGAGTGGTTTAGCATATCGATGATGGAAAAGTTTCGATGTCTGTCCACCGATACAATCAGATTTTGGCTCTGAAAAAAATCTATCACCGCCATGGAGTGCCGGTGTACCGAAAACAGCAGTTGAAAGTCCCTAACGTTAGCCCAAAATTACGCCCACTTTAGCGAGATCAAGAAGATGGCGCCGCCGCTGCATCCAATCAGCAAATATTCGACGGCGTTAAAGCAGAAATATAAATGCGAAGATATCTCCAAATCTTTCATATTTAGCAACGGATTGCTTTGTCTGATTAGCCTTGAAGGCGAATTTCTATAAAACGGGTCGAACGAAAACTGCATAAGGCTGCCCCCGGCTAAGGTTAACACATGGTCAAATACACGTACCAGAAATGGAATACAACTTATCCGGCATAAAGGATCTGCAATGCTTGACCGCGACATTTGGAAAGAGATTTTGCGAAAAAAAGAGGTTATCCTCAAATTCGACTAGGAAAAGCTACCGTACCGTACCGTGTGCCACGTGAAGATCAAGAAGATTTTGCAGCTGAAAGCGATAAAAAAACCACGGCTGCAACGATTTGCCAACAAAAAAAAGCGCATCCGTATCATTGAACTTGTATTTGCCGACAAATGAATTGGGAAGGTATGAATTTGATACGGCTCTAAAATGAACGGCGCAAAGATGAACCTTGTGGAAAGGCAATACTCATAAAGAAAGCCATTCTAAAATAAAAGTAACAGGCCTCACGATTGTATAGAACCGGGCTTTGTCGTGGTAAAAATTTGCTGAAGACACCATCCATTGGTCTGCCATCGGCGCATGGAGCTTGAAGATTAGCTCGCAATGTGTGTTGGATACATTGAAAATCTATAAAGATCACCATGCATGCCAAGTAACCTCAAGAAGATCTGTTGAACAAAGAGAAATATAAATTTTATCTGAATTTTGCTGCTGCAACAAAGAAAACAGCGTGGGATGCGGAACCGCGTCCAGCCGAAGTAGCAACGTTGCATGGATAGAATCTTTCGCTAGGGAGGGATCGCTAAACAGGACCACCCCAATTCCACAGTCTGTTAATAGATACAGTTCATCTAAAAATATAGCCACTTGGCGCACCCACCGCGATGTTTGGATGAAAATACGGAAAAGGCAAAAACCTTGGAGGATTGGCTGAATTTCACGCTTTGAACAACCTAATTTGACGTGGAAATTTCATCATCATCAGCACAAACCTCCAGGGTGACCGAGTCAAGTACAAGAAGCTCGTTTGAGGGCTCCAAAAGGGAGCAGCAAATGTAGAGTGAATTGAAAAGAGACTAAAATGGAAAATCCGCACGCACGCCACTTACTCCGATGCAAACGACCCTGCTTGCACATGGCGTCTTCGTTGACGATATCGACCGGCCATCATTAATATCAAGAATGCTGATATACCTAAACATGAAAAAAAGGCAATACCCGTTGTTGTCGGCGCAAATAAGCGACGATGAAATACACCCGTCAACGACGCAATCGTAGGTATCCTCCACGTGCATTTCCTCCATGAAGAGTGCCGAAATTTCGGCTCCACATCCAATTGCAATCCATTTTATCTGGTGGAAAAGGGCTTAAAACGTACATAGGGGTCGGTTTGCATCGAGTACAAGATAATGGATCCATCGGTGAGACAAATGACAACGGCATTCTCGTTTTGCAAATACAAGCTTCGCGTGATTGACAATGGATTTTCACGTCCATGGATTAAATTTGTCCTTTTGGGAAAGACACTAACCAAAGAGACTGCCATGGAGTTTAAATTACAGCACTTGCGTCGAATTTTTAATATTTAATGGAACATGAAAAACTCGACCTTTCCGCCATGATATCGTCGCTACTGCATGTTCCTGAACGGATTGCATTTTATTCGGACCTCGAAAAAAGAGGCTGCTTCCCCTCCACTTGGCTTTCGTTTGTTCGAGACATCATCCCATCAAGTAGGCGTCTTTTCGCTCATATCGCTAGGATCCCATGCCTTTGATAATTTGGTTTTAAAAGAGCCTCTGAATTTGAACTCGATTTTGCATTCAGAGACGCTTTCAGACCCGGGAAGATACATTCCAAATCTCGGAAAATCCATCGCAAGGCTTTCTTCTCTGCTGGAGCAGCGATCACAGCCGCTCCCTGGTCTTGATCAATATGCACTCCCAAAGGCCAGCAGTCCTGTAGCTAGAAACAATGCAAAGCCAATGCTGTTCCAGCCAAAAGATACTCCGGCTTCGAAAAAACAAAAGACCGAAAAACACACGCCATCCAATGGCCCATTAAAAATTGTTCTAAAATTTTACTTGCTCATTTGCACTGATTGGTCAAGTTACAGGGACAGGGCTACACATTTAAATTGAATTAATTTTGCAAACTCCAAAATGACGAGTTTGTGGAATATTTATCGATTTGGGAGCACGCGGCCACCCACATAACAAGACCAATACACGCGGTACGCCTATCAAAGCGAATACAGTAAAAGATATGAAGACGCAAAATCAACTTTGGCCTCTGAAATTTTGTAGACCTTCTCGTCGTCAAACATAAGCCATTGAGCGTCTTCATTTTTGATGTAAAGAAAATAATGTCCGCAATTGGTACTTTTTCCGCAATGGGCTATTATAGCTGACAGGCGGTACTTTTGATTAGAAAGGGAAACCATTTCTCCCTGATCGCTAGCATCGTGATTTGGCAAAGCAGATTCGCCATCGTCTTCTGGATTTGAACATAACCAATCGACGAGTGCATTTATGTCTGATGGATTGTCGGCATTTTTGATTGCCTTTTCGATGTGAGGCCTTGAAAACCCGAGCGCAGTCAATTCGTCTAAATTTTCAGCGTTACCCTGAGCCTTCTCCATTTTGACCACCGAGGCCGGAAACTCGCTGTCAATCGAGAAGGAGGACAAATTTATTGGCACCTTGACTATTTTGCCATCTGAAAATTCAAACACATACAACTGGATCAGAATAAATTTTGGAACAGCAGAGCTTGCACATATAAAGTTGTGAGCATATTTAGCGGTGCAGCACTGGTCACAATTGCTCACCCTTTCAGAGCCAAAATAGCTCGAAAGGGCAGAAGTGACGCTGCCCTTTGGGACCACAACAATAGGGCTAAATTGATCTGAAAAAGATGGGGTCACTTTTCGGCTCCCACAACAAGCACACTCAATGGCGTTCATAATTGAGACTGGGAAGGAAGAATTGATGGCTTCTCTAAACGAATCCAAGCGCGAAATTTTGCAAAGAAATGCTTGGAAAAACTCTGCCGCATCTTGCTGAGCAGAGGAAGAAGCAAGAGAGGGCAACTCCGTTATCAAAAGCCTTCTAAAACAAACCGGGAAAAGTCCGTCACAAAAGGCATAGGATTCACGCCTGGACAAGGCAATGCTTATTTTAATCAATTGGCATTCCAAGCAAGAGTTTGGGTTCTTATAGCAATTCTGGAAATGGAAATCTCCAATCGCAGTGGAGGCGTTAAAAAAAAGCATCTGCAGAATGACAGAAATGTAGCAGGTGTTCCCCAAATTTCTTATTCCCATGTATGTATTATCGAGAAGTTCGTGTTTTGAGAGCGTAGATTCATCCATAGCTGATGGCTTGCTTCTTTCCAGCTCCAAAAGAGACTGTTCCCTATTGAGCTGGGAGGCCGCCTCTGAGGATAGAAATTCATGTAAATACGAAGAGGTCCTCTCATCAATGGACGTCATTGAGTCGCAAACATAGCAATAAACTTCTGGTGATTTTGATGCCATGGTCCCGAGACGGATTGCAATGGGATGGCCCTCCCCATCGTAATGCGCCAGCGAATGGCCATTTCCCCCGGTGCCATCAAACTGCCTCCTACCACAAGATAGTGTGGAGCATGATAGACACAACCAAAGATTGTGAGTAAGATCACAGGCATTGCATTTGTGAACATTGCTAACGCTCCATGGATTGACGGCGGAAATATGGGGACAAATGGGCGCCTTCTGTTCTTCATCTGGAAAGACCAGCAAATTTAGATCATGAAGCTGAAAGATTTCTTCAATCCTTTGGAGAAGCGAATTCTAGGCGATAAACGAAAATAAGCAAACATTGATCTCGGTGCCATGATAGGGCTCGAATTGACTCGAACCGGGAGACAAAGTTACTGGGGCCACGGAAAAAAAATCGGCACTCTTTGCCCTCTTAACGTGGCTGTCCTGATCCTCAAATTTTGATTTCTGGGAAATTTCGGCAGCAATGGGATGGGGATATTTTGCTGCATGAAGTGGGAAATGACGTGAACAATATATCTCGCCACAAGAAAGGCACAAATATATTGCAGACTTTGTGCTGTTGATGCCCCTGATGCAGTAGCCACACTCTTGAAAAAGAAGCCGCTTTTGCAGCAGATCCTCGAGACGGCCAATTGTCAAAGCACACATTCGGAATTATGGGAATGAATTAAATTTTAATTTATAAGGTGCTGCAAAGCTGATTTTAAAATTGGCACATTAGCCGTTACAGTATTTGTCATACTGCACGGAAGAAAGTAAATGCTCGCTTGCATGCGAAGCGTCAGCGTCGACTTCTATTTTACAAATCCAGCCTACATGCGTGTTAATGAATTATTTTACTACCCTCAGAATATGGTGCTCTATTGATGGTTTTGGGCTTTTCCCTCAAACTCTCGTTGAACGATGAGAATGTTCCGGAAATCGGGGAAAAGACATCGCTGGCGCCTTTAACACTCTCAACGATGGCCAGAACATCTAGCAAGTCAGAATGGAGAATTCTGAACCATTAGCATGCACTACATCCCCAGGAGAAATTGTGGGGAAGTCGACAAAGACAATATCGCCCAAAGATTTCTGTGCAGCATCAGTAATGCCGACGGTAAAGATTTTGCGCGAAGGGTGTGAAGAAGAGGGGCTTTCATCGCAGACCATGGCCCACTCATGTTCTTTTGTGTAAAGCCGATCTCGAGGAGATTCCGAAGAATATCGACAAAGTGCCAATAGATGCGATCCAAATGCCAAACAGCATCTAGCTGTGTGCAGGAAACGCCCGGGCATCGATCGCTTCTGCGACATGAAGCAGGACATGGTAGACCCCATGGGATACCCTATCAGATACGACACGGGACACCACATGGGGTTCCCTATGAGATGCGACATGGGATACCACATGGGGTTCCCCATGTGGTGCTTCCCCTTCAGGCAAACTCTCGATGCCATTGATCAAAAATTGACAGCGCAAAATTTAAATTATAATGTAATCTGCTTTTGATCAATTGCACATGTTTAATCTTTGGCAAAGTGAAACAGGTATTTTGCACACAGCCAATAGGCTTGCCGCACCATTGATTGAACATGGGCCATTTTCCATGCAACTTGTTTTCACTTGTTTTCTGTAAATTTTTTCCATTTCTGATTCTCTGATGGGCGAAGCGAATCACATTCCATCTCCCACCCCTTCTCCCACTGCATCGACAGATAGCGGTACTGCTCCTCTCGGCGTTGATGGGGATGATGATGCCCGCAATTCTGGTGTCGAAAATGAAGCACACTCCGATGCCTATACTGGATCGCCCTCTAATGTATCGTTGGGATCCTCTTATACAGGCTCTTCTCCATCAATAGCAACCCAAAAGGAGCCTTCCAATACGGCCGCCGATGGAAAGCCGCAGCCCCGCATCAATAAAAACGACGCCATGGTCTACTTGGAACAAGTAAGATCACAGTTTTTGGATCAACCCGAAATTTATGGAAAGTTTCTCGATATCATGAAAGACTTCAAGGCACATGCTATCACCACAGACTTGGTCATCGAGAGAGTTACCTATTTGTTTCGGGGTTACCCCCATCTGGTTGAGGGGTTCAACGCCTTTATTCCTGAAGAGCATCGATTCAGGATGTCCTCTGCCACAAAATATACGTCCTCCGGGAAATCGCCCTCGTCTCCATCGACAGGATCTGCCATTCTTGGCCAGGCTTCATACCATCATTCACGCCCCGCTCTGCCTCCGGGATATAATCCGTCTGGCCCTATTCAGCCGCAATCCTCATCCACAGCAAGAGTGACAAAATATCTTTCGGCGGGCCCTACTCCCCCAGCGCTTACATCTTCTAGCGAGTATCAAATAGAAAAGATTCTACCAAGCCATTTTGGATATGGTCCCTCTTCCACGGCTCACCCACACACTTACTATGGCCCTTCAGGTTCCGCTTCGTCTGGATACTCTCAGCCATATGGTGGTTCATTGAATCACTCATCATCAGCCACATATCCGCTATCCTCAGCATCGGCTTCGGGGAACGGAGGCGGCCCTTCTTCGTCCGCATATGCGTCATCTTCTGCTGCCTCTCCTTATGGGCACCATCATCCTCATCTTCATCTTTCACATCTTCCGTCTCATCCTTCATCTTGCTCTTATTCTCCAAGTGCATCAGCACCCACATATCCTCTGTCTGGGTCCTCTCAACCTCCGTCCTCGGGCTCTGCACCATGGAACAACAACCCCAATTCATACAACAACACGGCAGATAGAGCTCCTTTTGGCGAAAAAAACATCATGTATGACCGCCCTCCGCCCCATCCCTATTCAAATGGAGCCGAGCGTTCATATCAAGGCGAACGTACCTCTTCAACCTCCGCATCTTATGATCGACATTATCATCAAGGCTATGCCCTTCCAGAAAGGTACTTTGTCCAAAATTCTGGCGACCAACGTCAGTCATCTTCTTATGGGCCCTCTACATCCTCGACATCACCGCCATACTCAAATGCTTATGGAGGAGCTCCCTATCCTCACCATTCCCAGTCTGGACCATCAGCAGTGCCTTCGTCATATGTATCTCATCCGCATTATTCATCGTCTTCGGTGTCGTCATCTGGATCCCAATCTTCCACTTTAACAATAGAGAAAGAGTCTGGAGAGCGGAAAAGCTCTATGGGAATGTTACAAGCTGTCGGTTATCTCAAGAAAATCCAAGATCGCTTCTATGGACATCCAGAAGTTTATCAGTCGTTTGTAGAAATTTTGCGCTCCTACCAACGAGAACAACGTCCAATTAGAGAAGTATATGCCCAAGTTGCTTCACTGTTTTCGGGACATTCAGATTTGCTTGATGAGTTTGCACAATTCATCCCAGATGCACAAAGTGTCGGTATATCTGGACTTGCACCTGCCCCCCCACCCGCCAAGCCGGTCGTTCAAACTAGAAAGCAAGGCCATCACCCCCAAAACCCACCAATCGGAGGATACCCTGGAGGTGGTAGCGGTGTTAGTAGCAGCAGTAGTAGCAGTGGTAGTGTTAGTGGTAGTGTTAGTGGTACTGGTAGTATTGGTGGTAATGGCAGTGTTGGCAGTAGTGCTGGTACATATTCAAACTCTGCGCCTATTCCAGCCCCTGCATACCATCCTTCCTCTTCATCCGAACCAATTTTCGGACCTCAACCCACCTTTGATTCCTATGCGCGGCCGACCGCAGTTAATCAACGGAGAAGATTATCAAGTTCTCAGTATCCGATGCCTCCCTCAACGACACCATCACTGGCTGCAGCTAAAAGAGCCAGAATTGGACCGCTTTTGGGGGCCTTTCCGGGCACATCCCCCGTCACATCGGCCCCAAATGTCCCCGCCGGCTCCATGGCAGCGACAACCACCCCATCCCCAACCAGCTTCCAATCTTCCTCTACACAGTATGCTGCAGAGACCACCCCGCCGATTCCATATGCTCTAATGGATGTACAAAAACCTCAGGCTTCCTCCTCCCTTTCGCCTGTTGACGTTTCCTCTTTGCCAGAGGGTGACTTTTTTTCCAAGGTTCGCAAGTTCCTAAACGACCACGAGGGAGCATATAGTGAATTCGTCAAATGTTTGGATTTTTACACACACCGAATTGTGGGCAAAAGCGAGCTGATGAAACTGGTACGTCCATTTATTGGGCGATCGCCTGAACTTCTTTCCAAGTTCTCGCAAATACTTGGTCTTTCCGATGAAGGCGGCCCTGATGAGACTGAAAATAGATATTTGCGTGACGATGAACCCATAGCCATTCCCATTGATGTGGATGGCACGGCAGATCCAGATGCCAATGTTGCTCCTAGGCGCCTTGGCTCGTATCGAATGCTTTCTGAAGCACGCGGAGGCTCCGCAGTAACCTCTTCTGGGCGCACTCCTCTCTGCATGGAGGTGCTTAACGATCTTATGGTCTCCTGCCCTTCCTTTAACTCGGAAGACTCCACTTTTGTTGCTTCACGAAAAAACGCTTCAGAAGAAGCGCTTTTCCGATGCGAAGATGAACGATACGAGCTTGATCTTCTCATTGACGGTGCGCGATCCGCCATTGCCTGGTTCGAACTGGAGCGGCTTTCGCTTAGTGCTGCAAGTAAATCGAAGGTTGCTTCGCCAAAGCTCAGTGTGCAGCCTCCTCCCATTCATCGCGCATTGATTGGGCGAGTCTGGGGTGATCAAGCTAGCAGTATTTTGAAGGCACTTCATCAGCTCCCTGTCACTGCGATCCCATTGCTCATCACTAGGCTCACTCAGAAGCTGGAGGAGTGGAGAATCATATTTCGGGAGTTGAGCCAAAATCAATGGTTAGAAATTCATGTAAAGAATGTCCAAAAGGCTCTTGACCATCAAGGGACCACGTTTCGAACCGTTGACCGCAAATCGCTGTCGCTCCGTGCGCTCACCAATGAAATACATTCTATTTTCTTGGAGCAGATGAAACGAGGCACAAGAGCTAGCGCCTCTATTTCTGTTTCTTCACTTCCCTCCTTTGGCAGTGCAGATAATCTAAATGATTCGAAAACCGCAGCAAACAATGCATCCACAAAGGGCCCCATGGAGCTGGCGCAGCTCGACTGGGAACTCTCGTCGCCGCTTGTGGCTCGAACACTATGTTCGCTTCTCTTGGCGAGAGAATCAACTGTAGACTCAAATGGGCTGAAGAAGCGGGCTGCAATTGGCCAGTTTCTTACGATTTTTTTGCCTCAATTCTTTGCCAACTCTGTTACTTGTTCGACGATGCTTTATGCCAATGAATCGCTTTATTTATTTTTTCGTCTTTTTCAGATCGCTTATTGTCGGCTAGAGCGGATCCTGGTTCTTTCACACAAGGCATGTACCTCTACGACGCCTCAGCATCCGCTTGCTTCTCTATTTGCAGCCAGCAGCGCAATAGACCATGCAGCCACACACAATTTGTCCGCCCCCGGTGGTCATACCGCCGATTCAGGTGCACGCCCCTACGCCCTGGCTATCGATCGGGCTCCTGCTGCTGGCGAAAACCACTCATCAAACGATCTTTTTGAAACTTGTGTGAAAATAATGGAGGATTTTATTTCTGGTGCCATTGATGGATCCTCATTTGAAGAGCGGTTACGACAGGTGCTGGGCCCGAACGCCTACCTTCTGTTCACCTTTGACCGTCTTTTATCGCTGATCTCCAAACAAGCGGCACTTTTACTGGCTGACCCGGTTGTTGAAAGGCTCGTGTCCATTTTTGAAACCCATGGTGTGCACAAAAATCATCATGCCAATGGAATCCCGGAAACCGATGAGCATGATAGGGGCAAAAGACTGGCTATTGGGGTCATTCTATCGGCCACCCCATCATCTGTGATGGCTGCAAATTCTTCTGCTAACAAGTCGTCTTTCCTTCCCATGCAGCCTTTTCTTTTCTCCATTGAGGCTATCGGCAGGTTAAAGTCTCCCCAAATAGACGCCAACGATTCTTGTATTCCGGGAATTTTTCTTGAAGGCCATGAATGGCTGGTTCGCTTCCGTGTCATTCCTGCTCCTATCGGCACGGCATTGCCAGATGATCAGCATCATCACTATCACTCTTTTTCTTCGTGCAAAGGATCAAATTTAGAAAAGTGGTCTAGCTACATTGACCGGTTTGTCGATCCTCAGTATGATCACCGCGTTTTAAAGCCGCCAGGCTGCTCCGCACCTCGGAAAGCGCCCTTAATTTTGGAGCGAAATCTGAAAAAAATCGCATCTTCACAACCGGCTGTTCCGAATGTTTCATATCGGCTAGAAATGAAAATTGACGTGCCTTCGTTTCGCATCTTTTTCGTTCCCGGCACTGAAGACTGCGTCTTTTCTAAAAAGGCCTGCGGGCTCGCTGTACATAATACCTATTAGCGCACATAAATCATAGAATAAGCTCTGGCTGCTGTAAATTTTAATTGTTTTGGAAGCTCCCCTTATGGGGGAAAAACGGGCGCGCGCCTTTAATAAATGCCAAATTTAACACCCAAAAAAACGCCATCAGTAAATGTTTAATGAAAAAGGGCTGGCTATATAGCAACGGCTACATATGCTTGAGAAGAGGCAAGCCCAACAGGATGATCCCATTGGCGAGCACCTGACGGGCAGCCGAGAAAAAGGCAAGGCGAGCACTCGCTGCCTCCGGTGTTGGCGCCTGCAGCACTGGGAGCTGCTCCAGCAGCGAAGAGAGACTATGGGAGAGCGACATCAGATAGGTGACAAGTGTGTTTGGCTCGTGATTCTGGCACGAATCGGTCACAATCAATGGGAACAGGGCAAGTTTCTTTGCCACCTGCAGGACCAATCCGTTTTCGCCCAATTCAGATCGAATCAGGTTTGAGTCTGGCGAGATGGCCATGGTGTCCGGTGTGGCTTTTCTTGCAATCGAGCAGAGGCGGACATGCGTGTATTGGAGGAACGGACCCGTATCGCCCTCAAACGAGGTCATCCTGCTCATGGAAAACTCGTAGTCCTTGATTTTCTTGGCAGAAAAGTCTTGGACCACGATGGCAGAAATGGCGAGAGCATTTGCAACGGCCTCTGGATCTTCAATTTCGGAGTACCGCTTTGGATTCGACTTCATCACATCGTGCATGGTCTTGTATGCCTCATCCAAAATGTCTTCCAAAAACACAACCGTGCCATTCCGGGTGGACATGCCATTTACTGTTCCGTATTTGATGTGCTTTAGGTTTTGCACCCAGGAGAATCCCATCTTGGCCAGGATGGCAAATAGCTGTTCAAAGTGAAAAGACTGTGTCGCGCAAACCACATACAAAGATTGCGACGGCGAGTATTCGCGCTGCCGGTCAATGGCAGCTGCAATGTCGCGAGTAAGATACAGCGTGGTGCCATCGCTTTTTATCGCCATCGGCATTCCTATAAAAATTGGCTTGCACGGGCGTTACCTAACTTGTTTTCGGTCAAGTCAACAACCATTGCCCCCTTTGATTCGACGAGCAGATTGCGATCGGTAAGCATTTTGATGACATCCTTCATATGCTGTTCGTAATGCGATTCGCCTGAATAAACATCAAATTTGATGTTCAGCCTTTCAAAGACCTTTTCGTATTTTGCAATGGAAAGGTTTTTGAATTTACGCCACAGCGAAAGAGCCTCCGTGTCGCCATCCTCCATTCGCTTAAAATAGGCCCTTGCCTCGTCATGCACAGAGGCGTCCAGCGAAGCCTCTGCAGCTATCTTGACATACACATCGAAAAGATGTTTGATTGCGTCCTTCTCCATTGCTTGTTCGCTGCCGTACTTGAGATATCCGACGGCCAGTAGCCCAAACTGTTTTCCCCAATCGCCAAGGTAATTGATTCCGGTGACGTGATACCCATTGGCGGTGTAAATATGCTTGAGAAAATTTCCAATCACAGAGGAACGAAGATGGCCGGCATGGAACGGCTTGGCGATATTTGGAGATCCGAAATCGATGACAACATTTTTGCCAGAGCCAGAGGAGTTCCAGCCAAACCGGTCGCCTAATGATAATTCGACACGTGTTTCATTTACCTTCCTCTTTGATAGCAGAGATGATGTCAACGAGAACTTCCTTCAGATCGATGCCAAAGTTGAGGAAAACGCCTTCAGGAGAGGCAAATTTGATCCCGCTAATGGAGGCTTTTTCCTCCTCAAACTACAGCGCATAAATTAAGGCTGGCACTTCTTACTTGGTTTGCAAAGTTGACTGCATTTTGTGCCGGATTTCCGGGAAAGCGTAGCTTTGGAACGGGAAGCGCAAAATCTCCATGCGTGGGATTTTTCGGCATTTCAAGGGCATTGAAAGCAAACTCCTTCGATATGGACGGCACCTTTGTTGATATCCATTCGGCAATTTTGCTTTTGTACTTGTCTGTGACAAGAAACGGCTTCATACCAATTGAAGAAGATGTGCACATTATTCGTAATTTGTAACCAAATCGAGGTCGCGTGATGCAAAAAACTAATTTCAAATTTAAAACGCCATTTTATTCTAACCCCTTGGTCATTGCAGACCATTCCCGCAGGCTCCTTTTTACGTCCCTCTCATCGGCACAGCCATCTCCGGGCTCAAAGTCCAGGTATGGGAATTCGCTATTTTTGATCAGTCTTGCGTCTCCAAAATCAATCAAATAGACCTTCCCCTCCTCGGCATCGTACATAATATTTGAGAGGGAAATATCATGATGGCATATTCCGCGCTCTTCGATGCGCCTGAAAATCGCATATATGGCCGCTTCTATATCTTTTGCTTCCTGATGAGAAAGCCTTGACACATCCAGATCTTTCAGAATATCGCCGTTGATTAACGACTCGATCAGCTAATGGCATCATTAATTTGACATCCATACATAAAATCTGGACACGCCCATGTACATATCTTCAAGCTGCGGAACACCTTTGCATCCTTTGAGCACTTTAAGGGCGCTTGCCTCCCGTATGCCATGCGCTAGCCCCCTTCTTGTACGTGCAGGGTACACCTTGGCCGAAAACTATTCTTATTGGGGCGGATGGCTTACTTTTTTAGCGCGGTTGCTCCTACAATTAAAAGCGCATACTTTTTACCTTTCCACGACCAAGTATACATTTCCGGATGTTCCGCTTCCAAGGAAATCCAGAAAACTATATTCCGCCCTGGGGTTCCGATCTTTTGAGATTGACCGTAGCTTTGACTGCAAAAACTGGGATGTAACGTGTAAGTTCATATCAGCCTCATTTTCAAGTATCGTGGACGACGCTATATAATTGACCAGTAGAACCAAATATACGATTTTAAGCATTTACTTTGATCTGCGATTTTTGCGTTATATTGCTTGTGTTTGTTTACGGCAAATCACTGCGGACTGATCTCATTCCAAGTCAGCCCCCATGTGTTGGCCAATTAAGGGCAGAATTTTCACGGCCCGACTACATCAGCCCAAGAAATATGATGGTTGATGGAGAAGCTTTTCATTAGAGATCGGTCGAACAAAGGGTTAGGGTTAGGGTTGCGGATTTTATGATCAACAATCGCGTATTGGGGTTTTGGTTCAAAGGCCTTTGGTCAAATGGAAAATGGATCCACCCGTCCACAGATGCCGTCCCCTCCGAGTGTATGAAAAGATGGTTTAATTCGACTCCATCATTTAACCAGGAGGTAAGGGAGCTATTTGAGGCCGACATTGTGTCCGTCCTCAATACGCCGATCGAACACTTGCTAACGACGCTCTCGAGCGAACACGTATTTCTTTTATGGATAACCTTATAGGATTTCCTGTCCAGGATACTCCTTTTAGATCAATTTACTCGAAACGCGTTTAAGGGCACCAAGCAAATGTTTTGTGGAGATACGTATGCCCTTGCACTGGCAAAGCGAATGATGGCATTCAATCTTGACGAGGCTCTGCATCCACTGATGAGAATTTTTGTGTATCTTCCGTTTGAGCATTCCGAAGATATTGATGACCAAAAAACGTCACTGCAGCTCTTTTCAAAGCTGTTTCACGCCCAATCTTCCAGTGTTGACAGTTTGCTTTTTTCAATCTCTTCAGATTATGCTGCACGCCACCATAAGCGTACACACAAGTGACGTTGTAATTTATTGTAGTTATCGAGGAATTTGGAAGATTTCCATATAGAAATGCCATTTTGGGACGTATTTGTACGGAAAAGGAGAAAATATACATCGAAAATGGAGGGGATGACTTTATTTCTGCCAATAAAAATTGAATTTCACCAGTGCAGCATGCTGGATGTGCAGTAGAAATCAAGTGGCATCTGGGTGATATTAACGCGAATTTATTTTCATCGAACTGGCACAGGAACAACGGCATTGAGGCTATTGCTGATCCCAGTACTGATGGTGTTGCTCACATCAGCACTGCTGATGTTGGTACTGATGCTGCCCACGAAATCAATTGATCAAAATACTGGAAATCGGCCGATTGAAAAATTGGTGCAAATTTTATGGGGGGTACCTTGACTTTACCGGTTCTTTGGTCGAGGCATGAAAAAGGCTTTTTGGAGGCCATGCTCTTTGTCCATTATTTTCCGGATTTGATTTCCAATATCTCCGACCGTTCTTCATTGCTTTTTTGTTCCAATGTGATCGGTTCTATCGATAAATCATGGAATAGACACAATCGAGGCGCCTTTCCATCATCAGCTAATATACTTGCCTCGTGAATTGCATCCCTTTATTCTTCTGCTCGTGATCAGAAGCATATTCGTAAAGTTCTCAGATGCTCTTAGTATAAATGTGCCTGCCCCTGAGACTCTTTCTTGTGTATCTCTGAAAGCATATCAGTTAGCTGGTTTCCTGTTACGTTTATTGCAAATAAATGCTCGGCATCGTTAGTGAGCCCCAAGAATGGTTTCGTATTCAATAGATTTATTCACCTGACCATACAGATTTGATATTTTTAAAGACCCGTTCTTTTCTTGTGCCCAGGTATTTACCAGACAGAGGTATCAAATATTGATGGCGTTTTCAGATGTTCCCTTTCCTTGTAAAGTCAAGGGTGCACTTTGGAATATCAACTCCAAATTTGTCAAAAGTAAGAAAGCTCCTCGTCAAATGGTTCCGTCCAAATGAAACCGATGGCCATGTAACCCTGTGTTTACCGTATCTTGATAAGCCTAACTGATTTTGTATGGTCCAACAAGCTCACCAGACACTGACTCTGCGGTCATAAATCTTGCTACACTTTCCTTATAAGACGATCCTATTAACTATGGCTATTCTATTTCCCCAGGCGATCATATATCCGTGTTTAATTCTCCTGCATTCCCCCTAAAGGGCATCAAATGGTCCAGAGAATCACCCCTACTGCGTGGCATAACTAAGCGAAACAGCAGTATCGGCAATACGGCATTCGACGCAAGACCTTAAATGCTAGCCCTATTAACAGGTCCCTCCTACTGATTCGCTTCTGTGAGGTTAAAAAGTTTTAACGCTTGCGTTGCACAAAATGTGTGCATTGGCAACCCTAACCCTGCTGGCACCAACACAAATAAAATTTATTTTTCTAAAATTTACAGATGACCTGCAGTCCCATTTTATCATCCTTTGATCCCTTTAAACTTTCTCTGGATTCGTCTTTTTTGGGCGAAGCGGATAAAAGCCAAAATCCATTTGATAAGCTCCCATGGGGGATTGAAACGTGTGATCTCTCCAAACGCCTGTTTATCAAGTCAGTATGGAACCAAATGGAAAACGGCACCTCCAGGTACTAGTGATTGCTAAGTTTGCAGATCGCCTTGGATCAATGAACCCACTGGCGGGGAAAAAGAAGCCCTTGAATTTAGTGCAAATGAAATCTTCCAGAACTATGCTACTTTGTAAGGCTGCCCTATTAAGCTTTAGATATTACGAAGGTTCCGATTCGCTTTGCTCGTTTTTTATTACTTCGACAAGTCCCAATGGTTGGGATTTTATAATTTTGATTCAAAGCACAATTGAGCATCAAAAGGAAGATAGCGATAACCACCCATCTTCTTATTTTTCTTCGTGGAACTCTGTTCACAAGGGAAATGTCAAGCTTGACGAGGGATCCAAATGTTGCGAATATAAGCTCCGCTCTTCCGTTGCCGTTAGATCGAAAAAAACTTGCGAAAAAGAGCGTGAAAACGAGGCTGCAGACTCTTCAAATTGGGTAGCGTTGGACTTTAACCTAACCATTAGCTCTCGATCACCTCGGAGACTGAAACATCCTTTAAAGCCTCGCCGACTTTGGTAATGGTTCGCTTTTATTCTCAATAGAATGCTCCTACTCTTTATCAATCCTTGCACTTGAAGCACATTGGAACATTGCTGGAATCTTCTGAATCAAAGCTGCGCCTTTCCATTCTGGATATTCACTCCCAGGCTCCAAGTATAGCTTTGAAAAGTGCATTCAAGTTCCAGTCTATCGGGCTTTCTCCCAAGGCCATGAATCCTGCGTGCCAGTCTGAATTTCTTCGAAAGGTGCAAAGTCGCAATGCTACCGAGCAGTCATAAATAGAAACACACCAATAAACCGTTATTTGATTTGACCCGAGCTAACAGAGAAGACATCTATGGGCTGGCGTGTGCCAACTTTCTTTGCAACCAGGGTATCGGGGTCGGTGTATTTTCAATATTTTAATGGAAGCCGTCTTGGCTGCCCCATGTCGCGGTGTAACTGCAAAAGTTGTGTCAATTTCGCTTGCTAGTGCAAAATAGGCTGCGAATTAGCACCCCATCATTGTAGGTGAAAAGCACAAACAAATTGCTGCTGCACATTGGCCATTAAAATATAAATAATTTAAGTTCAAATTTGCTGCTAATCATGTCTTTGGCCACCACTGCTACCATGGACATTGAGACAAACGATGCTCAACCTGCGTCTTCTCATCTGCTGGCCGAGTTCAGAAGCGAAAAAGACATCTATCAACGATACTTGAAGCTCTCTTCGCATCTGGAGTTTCTCAATTTGCAAGAGAACTTTCTCCTTGAGGACCAAAAGAACCTCAAGGTTGAATTGATGCGCGCCCAGGAAGAAATCAAACGGATTAGAAGCGTTCCTCTTCTTATTGGGCAGTTTTTAGAGGCAATTGATGAAAACACCGGGATTGTTGGCTCGACCACTGGATCGAATTCTGTAATCCGAATCTTGTCCACCATTGACCGAGAGCTACTGAAGCCATCAAGTAGCGTGGCCTTGCATCGCCACTCAAATGCGCTTGTCGATGTTTTGCCTCCAGAGGCCGACTCCACCATACGGCTTTTGGGTGAGATGGAAAAACCGTCAGTCACATATGCAGACATTGGGGGCCTTGATTCGCAGAAGCAAGAAATTCGCGAAGCAGTAGAACTCCCCCTTGTGCAGCAAGAGCTGTACAAGCAAATTGGAATCGATCCACCGAGAGGCGTTTTGCTTTATGGACCCCCTGGAACTGGGAAAACCCTTCTCGTTAAGGCGGTCGCCCATCATACGAAAGCGGCATTTATTCGTGTGGTCGGGTCCGAATTTGTTCAGAAATATCTTGGCGAGGTAATCTATTTTAGCCGAATTTCGCGCTGTAGGGTCCCAGAATGGTTCGCGATGTTTTCAGACTGGCCAAAGAAAATGCGCCATGCATAGTCTTCATTGACGAAGTTGATGCTATTGCCACGAAAAGATTTGATGCGCAAACGGGCGCAGACCGTGAGGTCCAACGAATCCTACTTGAGCTTCTCAACCAAATGGATGGGTTTGACCAGACCGTTAATGTCAAGGTAGCGAATGGCAAAGATGCTAACCTTTAGGTAATCATGGCCACCAATCGAGCCGACACGCTTGACCCTGCTCTTTTGCGTCCTGGACGCCTTGATAGGAAAATAGAATTTCCCTTTCCTGACCGCCGCCAAAAGCGGCTTATTTTTCAAGCGGTCACCGCTAAGATGAATGTTTCTGAGGAAGTCGACCTAGAGGAGTTTATTGCGCGCCCAGATAGGCTATCTGGGGCAGATATTCATTCTATTTGCCAGGAAGCCGGTCTGCATGCTGTGCGAAAAAATCGATATGTCGTGCTTCACAAAGACTTTGAAAGCGGCTACAAAAGTCATGTGAAGAAGGCTGACCTTGATTTTGAATTTTACAAATAAAGCGAGCAGCGCTGATGTGATTCCTTAAAACTATGACTTTAATCAAACCGAGGCCTGGGGCGAGAAAAGCAAAAATCGGCGTTGCTTTGCTGCCTACCTTGCATTTGCAATTAAAAGTTGCCAGCAGCGGAATAAAATCGCCCTGTTTTGAACGCTACATTTGCAGAAAGTCTAGCCTGATGTTGGCCGTTTATGAAAGCAGCGAGCAACGATCCAAATTGATGCGAAACCGATGTTGTTCGGATGCGTCGGAAGAAAGCAGCTCTCGCAAAAGGATCTCAAAATGGTACATTCAAGTGGCACAAATGCTAGCACATCATTTTCACTACCTGTGTGATGATGTTACCCAGAAACGGCCCAATTGGCTGCAAAATAACTTTCCAAGCATGCCATTAAAACCCTGATCCTGTGGACCCAACACTGGCTTCGCACTGCCAGTAAACATTTAAGTGTGTCCAAATGTCAGTTGCAAATGCATGTAGGATTAGGGCGATCCGTCCAATCCCAATCCTATAGTTAACTTGATGCAATGTCATGGAAAATTGTTTATCTGGTAACATTTTGTCAGTGAAAGGTGAAACGGTTTGTTTTTATTGAGGTGGGAAAATGAAATTGTTGTTCTCCATTTTCCACTCATGAATAAGATCATCATCCATGGCATGAATCGCAATTGGTGGCTTATTTTGAATATTTTCTATAATTCTAGAAAATGAATGAAGAGTTTCTTGTGAATCTTTTCCAAACATCGAAATAACCGCCATTTTGCGCGTGGAAGGCTCAATCAGCTTTTCCTTCAAAAACGAGACCAGATCGCTACGTGTAACGTTCAAGATAATCTCGCCCAGAAGCTTATCTAAGCGTTAAATAAATAGGGCTCACGAAAAACAAATTTATCTTTTTTCCCCAGCATATCCATGTATGAGAGGTAAGTCGTAAATTCTGAACCCATGTTTACGGGTTTCTCCAAAATCGACTTTCGAGTAGAGGTTAATTGAGTAGCGATATCTTCATCTGTCATATCTTTCTCAATGTGGCCAACCATCGAATCCAAAAAGGCAAAAATGCGCGTAAACAAATAGGAGGGATCGTGTGTGGATTGAACCAAAAATTGCAATCCAATCGCGTGCGCATCGATACGAACACTTGAAAAAACAGCATAACCCAGTTGCTCGCTGGTTCTTAGCTGATTAAAAAATAAAATTTTCAGTATATCGACAAGTGCAAAACAAAGTGCAGTATCCATGTTAGCGGAAACCGCGCCAACCTAAAATGAAATGTCTGTTAAAGCACAAACCTGAAAGTAAACGATAGCACATGAATTTGGATCCTTGACGTGTTTACCTAAAATTACAACTTGACCACGGGGAAGCTGCACCACTTTAGAACGAGAGGCAGGTATGCTTTGATTGACGCTCAACCCAGATGCTGTGAACTTTGATGGAAGCTTTTCAAAATATTTGAGAACCTCAAAGGGTTTAAAGTTTCCATGAACCAGCGCCTCAAAATGAAGCTCTGTCTTGCTGACCGGGAAAATGGACTCCAAAGAATCAATATCGCTTAGCTGCAAACCCTCCAGGGTTGCTAAAACGGAGTCAATGCCAAATGTAAATTCGGCTAAAAGATGGCGAAGATAGTAATTTCCTTGAGCAAAAGGTGGTTCAAGGTGGGTGTTTCCCAAACTATTTGCAAGCGTGGACTTTCTCATCGAAAAAGAGCTAGCATCTGGAGCCCAAGTCTTCATCATTACTTGGTCCAAAAGCTCATCTAAAAGAAGAAAAAGCTTTTCGGAGTATCCACCAACGGAAATGCAATGGAATAAAGGCGACGTAAACAGGAAATAGGAAAGGCCAGCTTGAGCAGCGGGATATAAACTATTCAATAAATGGTCTGCCAGAACAAGATTCCAAAGCATCAACGAGGTATATTGTCTGATCGATTCAAAATGAGGACTCATTATTCTCAGCATAATTTCCCCTTTTGGGAGCATGAAGGTATCATCCTGTTTGAACCAAACATCTTTTAAAATCTCCTTGGGAACTACATCGGTGACTGATTCAGTCTTCTTCCCATATATGGTTAGGTCCGTGCTAATAAATCGATTGCGACATGGAAGACGAAAAGCGCCATCCATTAATGCCGTGTTGAGGGAGTGAACAAATTCCTTGTCCATTTTTGAAACATGATATCCTGCTCCAAACCACGGCTCCTTCTGATCAAAAGTAATAGAGAGCTGTTTGCCATCATCGCAAACTAGAAGAAAATAAAAACAAAATAACTGCTTACATTGGTCTTTGATGGGATCACACTTCATGGACTCGCCATTGGCCAAAATGAAAATAGAAACCTTTTCAGGAATTAAAAATTCGTGTAGCAGCTTGGAAACGGCATCGCAATCGTACGATTCCACGAGGTTAGGACCGGTTAAAATATCTTGCGGTGGAAAGTGTTGCATATTAACCACGTGAGTGGTGACTATAGCATGTGCATGTGCTTTATCTCCACAATGAAAGTTTTGCTTAGCAATTCCAGAAAATTCCTCAAATAAATGGGATGGAATCTTCTCAAACGTCTTGAGAAAATTTAAATAAGAGAACACCGAAGAAATGACGAACTCATAATTTAGCAATCCTTTGCCTGTTAAGCCAATTGAGATCACAAATGTGCTGAATCCGCTTAACTGGTCTTTTATACCAACGCTTACGGATGTAACACATCCTTTCAGCTTGAGATATGACAATAAACCGCCCTCGCCGTCATACCCAATGATGCTACTGAGAAAGATAGCAGGCTTTGACTTGTACAAGGGAAGTTGATCGGGGATTTGCCAAATAAATTCAATTTCTCTCGTGAATTTCAACATGTCAACCCAAGTAATGGACTCAAAGCTCTTCTCGCTGATCGGGTTTATGCTCTTCCAAGGGTAGTCAAAGGGCTCAAAAGAGTTTGGAACCTCAGAGAATTTGCTGTTCACATATTTGACAAGGTCCGCGATCGGCTCCTTCCCAAAAATGACGAGCCTCATACGATCTGCAGAGTAATACTTTTTGTAGAACTTTATGATTTCTAAAAATAAAGAGAACCAAAGGTACCGTCACGAATATCTACGCCATCCTTTCCGGTAAGCGTTTTTTCTGTGCCAATAATAAAATTATGAAACGGGTGAGAAAGGTTAGCTAGAAACATACGCACATGTTGATATCTCCAGGCATCATTTTGAAGATAAAGGAGAAATTCAGAGTTGACGGCATTTCTTTCTCTATCAACACAAGAGGCAAGAAACAACGGTGCGATGAAAAACTGCGAAAACCGATCAAGAGCAGGCTCCAGAAAGTCTGCATTTATCGAAAAGTGATAGACCGTATTCTCTCCAGCGGTGTACGCGTTGCATGAACCAGAATGCTCGGATATGAAAGCCTGGTATTCTAATTCGGTTGGGTATTTTTCCGTCCCCATGAACAATAGATGCTCCAGAAAATGGGCCAATCCTGGATATTCTGGCGGATCCCAAAAAGATCCGACATTAACACTCATCGCCACTCCGGCCTAGCAGATATAAAGATCAAAATGTACCTTTTCTGCTGTAGGGTCATGGATAACTAGTGCCTTCAGGCCATTTGGAAGCTCAGCATACCCGTATGTCAAAGAATCTGCTTTACCCTTGATGGGCTGATCCGAAGATCCACTTGGATAATAGAATCGCTTTTTAACGTAAAATATCGCTAAAACCAGCAAGAATGCCGAAATGACGACAAGAAAAATCCTTCTGGCTTTTACAAGATACATTTTTTCGATAAAAATGATGCTGCATCACCGATTGGTCACAACTTGCGTTGAAATGACGAAGAATTAAAGTTGTAAAATTTAAGCATCCTAACCCTTTATGATGGCTCACAGTTCAACATCTCTTCCCTGGGTGGAAAAGTATCGCCCATCAAGCATGGAGGATATGGCACAGCAGGGATCGAGCTTAAAAACAAGTAGCTATTTATTACCATCTCATGTTGCAAAGTTTCGACGCTAATTGAGTCTGGGCGTTTGCCGCATTTGCTCTTTTACGGCCCGCCGGGTACGGGGAAGACGACCGCAGTGCAGGCAATTATTAGGAGGCTGTTTGGATCGCTTTGCGAATCCAATGTGCTTGAGGTATGTCTTTTCGGTCCTAACCGCCTACGCCAGCTAAATGCGTCTGATGAGCGTGGCATTGATGTTGTAAGAAACCAAATTAAATCGTTTGTTTCGTCGCGAAATATGTTTCGCGATTCGAATTGCAGCCTGAAGATTGTCATCTTGGATGAGGCTGATGCCATGACGAATGCTGCACAAGACGCCCTTAGAAGAAGTAACGCCGCCTGTTCTTCTTACGCTAGTCATTGAGAAATATGTGCAACACGCCAGATTTTTTATCATTTGCAATGATATCGGCAAGGTTTCAGGCGCCATTCAAAGCAGGTGCATGCTATTCAGATTTGCCCCCTTATTGCCCGAACAAATGATGCATCGGCTCGAGCATGTCATTGAATCGGAAAAGTATGGCACCCCCAAATTTTGATCCCATCCTGCTAGGCTCACCGTAACTAGCGACGGTAAAACCGCGATCTTGAATTTATCGGCCGGTGATATGCGCAAAGTTTTCAACATCTTGCAGGTAAGTTTATTTTGCTCATTCCATGGAAAGTCTGCATCAGCGTCATTTGCAATAATCGATGAGGCGGTTGTCTGCAAATGCTGTGGCGTGCCAAACTCGTCTCAAATCTGCATGCTATTAGAGAAGCTCTTGAATTCCGACTATTTTGTCTCCTACTCATGTACCGGCTTTTCATAACGCTAGATTTACGTGACATGATACGTGAAAAAGGATATTGCACGTTGGATATCATCAGAACGCTATCAGAGATCCTTCTTGGCTATGATCTGCCCCCTCTTATTTTTAGCCATCTCATTGAGAGGCTTGCCTATTTAGAGTATCTCTTTTTCTTTGATCTATTTTAGGTTTTCTGCATCCTCTGGAATTCCCGAGTGCATTCAAATCGCAAATCTTGTCGGCTCATTCCAGGCCGCCAGGACTCTTTTATGAGGGACAAGTTACCACTGCCACACTGAAGCCCAAACGTAATTAAATTTAATTTGAAGTTTACATTTCCAAAAATTTTAATTGTTCTGCAAATGTGGGCTGCCGGCGGTGGCAGTGGCATTGGTGGCAGGCTGGTCTCGTCTGCCTCCAGGCTAATGTCGCACACTTCTGTGTTTTCAGTAGCTGTACGTGTGGCCATTTCAAGGAAAACATTTAATGGGTCATCAGTGTCCACGCGCAGTGTGTTTATGGAGCCTTCGGCCTATCCGTGGCGAAAGCCACCTAGAGACCATCCCTATGAGGGTGGAAATGGGCGGCCAAGAAGCAAGTCTTGGCGATACTCTGCATATCTAAAGGTATTTTTTATTTTAACTTCTAGGCAAAAAGAAAGCGAATTCGAGCCAAAAAAGAACACAAGAAGCGATCGATAAAGACATTCCCCCATCCAACACTTACCGGGTTTCTTGCAAAGAAATCTCCAAATAGAACACTTGTGCGAAGAAAGGCAATTCCACTGCGCTACTGAAGACCGAGATCAAGCTTGCTGCTCCATCGATTGCAGCTGACTCAGCGACGAGGCCGCCTTTGAGCGAAGGCGTGCATATGAGTAAAACGAAAAAAAGAATAACGCAAGTCCGACAACGATCACAGAGACCAAAAGAAATGGGTCCAACACAGATGTAGTCAGCACCAAAGACTGCGAATCCAACAGCCGGTCATTTGTAGGGGTGATGAACCCGCTGGAACTTGCACTTTCAAAGCCACCATTAAATGCAAAAATGGCCAGTAGCAAGCCAAGACCAGCAAACGCACCATGATGGCCAGCGTGCGAGCGTACAAGCATCAGAGTCAATAGAAACCCCACAAACTGGGAAACAACGACAACAGCCATGGGGCCAAAGAAAGAAGACCACGACCCCAATGGAATGCCATCAATAAGGATATCGGCAATACTTGGTGGACGTCCACTAGAAGTGCCTGCAAAACCACTGGTGTTATGATTGTTGCCTCCAGAAAGTAAGCGAAAGATAGCGGGGGCCTCGATAGAATAGTTCGGCGGCCGCATAGTTGCAACCTCTTCATAACACGGAGGTCTAGAGGGCACTGCATCCAGAGTTCCCGAGGAAATTTGGGAAATACCAGAAGACGAGACCATATTGGAAAAAACACCATCCCTTGTTTTGAGTAAATTGGGTCGGTGAAAGGCAGAGTAGACGGACGCAGGATGTGCCGCCAGCCTTCCAACATTTGCATCATAATGCGTATCCGCTACATCCTGTGCATCAGTAAACATTTGACGGGAATGTTGAGGATCAAACTTTTGAGTATTTAATTCCCAGAAGGGTATCCAAATAAATTTCAAGGTTACTCCAATCAAAAAGTGTTCCCAACCAATCGGGCAGTTTCAAATTCAAACCTTTTATTTGGAATTTAAATCTTTTATTTGGAATTTAAATCTTTTATTTGGAATTTAAATCTTTTATTTGGAATTTAAATCTTTTATTTGGAATTTAAATCTTTTATTTGGAATTTAAACCTTTTTATTTGGGATTCAAACATTTTATTTGAATTTAAACATTTTATTTTGAAATTTTTCACAAATAAAGGCCTTCCGGTGTGCTTTCATTCTTGCGATACAGAACCCTCTCCTTTGCCTTTTGGAAATCAGAATTGCTGACGGTCGTTCTTCTTTCCCTAAGTGCAAGCAGTCCAGCCTCTGAGCAAATCGCCTTTCGCCATGAAAACAGGAAACCCTACCTTAATATCAGCCCCAGAAAGATCGTTTTTGGCCGGGATAAGCCGCTCAATCTCAATGTCATTGGATAACTTCATCCTTGCAGTGTGGATAGCAAATATTCTCCTTTTAGTCTTAACGTCAGGTAGAGGAAACTCGATCTTCCTGTCGATTCTTCCTGGGCGAATAAGCGCTGGATCCAGCGATTCGATTCGATTAGTTGCCATGATCACCTAATTGGCCGCATTATCACAAAGTGCTCTTACTTTGACATCTCCACGGGAATCGAATCCGTCCAGTTGGTTAAGAAGCTCTAACATTGTTCTTTGCACTTCTCTTTCGCCTAGCAATGAGCCGAATTAATAAATTACCTCCAGAATTGGAGTCATAACGTTTGGTTCCGATTGCATCAATCTCATCAATAAATACAATTGATGGGGCATTATCTTCCGCAAGTCGGAAGAGCTCGCGAACCAGTTTTGGGCCATCGCCAAGGTATTTTTGGATGAGTTCAGAGCCGAAGACACGTAGGAAAGTGGCAGATGTCTGGTTGGCAACGGCCTTTGCAAGAAGCGTCTTTCCAGTTCCTGGAGGTCCATAAAGAATCACGCCTTTTGGCGGACGAATGCCCATCTCTTCATATAGCTCTGGATGTGTCAAGGGTAGCTCGACGGCTTCCTAAACATCATGTGCAACGCGCTACCTTTATCTCCTGGATTTGCGAGTCAAGGCCTCCGATATCGGCATATGTTTCCAGCGGTGCCTTTTCTAGCTTCATCACGGAAACCATTGGATCAGTGTCGTCTTGAAGCACACCGACAACAGACATTGTCTATGATTAGCAAAAGCAAAGGGTACCTTGCTGTGCAAGAGGACAGAGCAATTGGGCTCTAGCTCCGATTTGTCCACAAATGACATGATCGAGGAATAGCTTTCAGGTCCCAAAGATGATGAGACGATGGCATGGTCGTCGTCAATCATCTCCTCCAGCGTTCCTACAATCATTGGTGACCCGCGCAGATCGTCAACCTTTGATCTCTCTTCCTAGGAAAAAAAGAACCCCTAAACGCTTACTTGGGTCCTTTGATCTTGAGGACGTAGCGCCTCCATTCGATTGACAAACTCATTTTCAATTGCAAGGTAGTCGGAAATCCGCTCCATTTTCAGCTTTCGAAGACGGCAACGGCTCGTGGGAAAAATTTCAGGAAGCTTTTGTGCGGGATCTGGGCCACGATGTCGGGCGGCTCTCTTGCCAAACCGGGTGGGAAGAGGTGGCTCCCAACGGGATTTCCCCTTTTTCTCTCCGCCAGCCCCGTCGCCTGCGTTCCCAGATCCGGGCTCTCCCCTCTGTGTGCCTCGATTTGCTGCTCCTGGAAGTCCCGAAAGGTTATTTCCCTACGATGATGATGATGAGGACTTCGATCTCACCGTACCATTTGTTGTGAAAATTAAATTCAAATTTTGCTTTTGATTTTAAAATGTCCGAGTGCTTCCAAAGATTTAAACTCGGTGCAATGCTGGGCGGGACCGTCGGAGGGACGATGGGCCTTCTTCTGGGTTCATATACCGTTCTCAGGTATGCTTATTAAAAGAAGAAGATGATAAATTTAGACATGGCCATGGGGGCATGGGCTATCTTCGATACGTTGCAAAATCTGCGCTCACATCTGGAGGAATGTTTGGTCTTTTTATGGGCATCGGGTCTGTGCTTCGCTGCGACAATGGCCCGAAACCATGTTCCAGTAAAATAGTAACTTAACTCGTAACAACGCATAGCCGAATAGTTAATTTAGCACGGCATTCTGACATGCCAATCAGGAATCCCGGCTGGCCTCAAATGCAAGATGGTAATCCCGGCCGGCGTGTTCCCTGGCGAGTTGCACGGATTACGTCTGAAAAATTCCCGCCATAGTACGAGCGATTTATTTAGCTACTTTCGATCTTCGACCATGATGATGTGATAGCCAAAGTTTGTCTTGACTGGGGGGTTCGTGTATATAGGCTTTTCAGAGGTTGACGGCGGCAGGACAAAAGCAGCATCTTCAGAAAAACGCGCAAACATTACCTTGAAAAGGGCCTACCATCGAGCCGCGGACCATCCACCCAAGCAAGCCTAACGTTTATGGAATCCAAAGAGACCTCCACTTCGAGCCTTATCCTCAGAAAAGGTTTCCGCAACCTTTGCAAACGAAACGCCCTCCTGCAGCTTTGCTAGTGCCTCGAGGATTTTTGCTAGCATCAAGTAATGGCATGCAATACACACATTGTTTGGCACACAAGATATGCCTGACTTTAATGGAATTGGCCGGCGAGAGGGTTGAGGACGGTTTTTTCTCTTTGGAGGGCATTGGAAAAAATTTATTTTTAAAGTGCAATGTTAGGCGGAGGCTTCTAAAAAGGATTGGGCATCAAAATAGGCATGCAGCATAATCAGCAAAAAGACCAGGCAGCCGAGTGCATTGACCATAAAGTAGAGCTGAGAATCAGTTATCATCAAAAAAGTTACAATTTATTCAAGTAACATTTTAAAAACTCGGTTTTTGCGGCATTTGATGCCTGTTGCAGGTATGGCACTTTGCCAAGCGACGCAAGCATCGAGCCAATGCCATCTGAGATGTGCATTTCTGGATGTTTTTCCTTGATCTCCTTGGTTCCGCCAATGTCAAGTATCTTGACAGAAACCTCCACAGGTTCCCTCTAGGAATTAGAAACCGCAACGCAGCATACACAAAACAATAATTTAAACGTGTGGCTAATGAGACTTTCTGTCGTTAAAGGGACAAATAAATGCTGGGTGTATCTTATAAATACAAGGAACAGTCTTTTTCCAGCCAGATCCTCCTCTTTGATTTCGGAACATTTTATGATGGAAAGCCCGTTTGTGTGGGATTCTTCTGGAAACAAAATTACAGGAGATTCTGCAGAGAATGTAAAGAACTGCACAATGTTGGCAAGAAAACTCCATAGCCTAGACTTTGGTTCTTTTTCGGCGGTAAATCTGGCCCTGGGGACACTATCAAATAAGTAGGACAAATGCCAGCAAATACATCCACGATATTAAAATTGCATCCAAAAGGGGCGAGATTGCATTTGAAAAAACGATGCCGTTGGAAGGGATTTGATAAGCACTACGCTTTTTCAGCTGGGGCCCAGCGTAATTCCTACCAATTAAAGTGGGATTCATGCCCTAAAGAACATCTCGATTGAGATGCCGAAAAGCTGTAAAATTCGACGTTGGGATCGACAAAAACATTTAGTATGAAAAGCATGCACCGAAAAAAAATCCTACCAACAAGTGGATACCAAACAAATGGAACAAGAAAAAGGACCAAGCAAAATAAGATTGACTTTGCAAGCAGAATGGGCAGGAACAAAATGAAATCCTAAATAAAATGAAAGCGCCTACAAGCATATTTCGCCTGTACATTGCCACCGGCATGAATGGGTTGATGCCCGAAGATGGGTCCCGGAAGTTGGAAAACTTTTCCATAACAAAAGAATTCAAAAATCTAAATTTCATTTGTCAAGTAGGGGCCTGGCCCAGTGGCGGTAAATTTTAATTTTGTTATCTGCTGGCTGCCTGCTAGGCCTGGAGCATTGCTCGTGTTTGGGCTCTTCCAAGTTAGTATGCAGAAAAAACCAGCGTCTCACTAAAAAGCGTGCCCACAAAACTAATCGAGCTTAGACGTGTGCTCACAAAATAGAATGAAAAAGGCCACATCAATAGTTTTATGGGGTCCTTCTTCTTCAGACTTGGATCGATTCGTTGGCGTATTGCTCTAGAAAGATCGTTCATCGCGTCCCAACTGTCATTTTGTTGTCTTGGGCGACTTGTATTTAGTTTCTCCCTCAATCTTTCAATTGCTCTTGGCACACACTATTTCTTCGCCTGCAAGGAAACTGGTATGCCTGGCTTCTGCGTTTATCGTGCTTGAACAGCATTATTTATGCCATTCATCGCCCTAACCCTAACCCTAAACGAACCAGACCTTCTGCAAAACCCCTCTTTGGGGCTAAAATTTGCAATAGCTTCAATATAGAAATCAATCGCCGCCTATGGATGACATTGGGTACGTTCTGGTTGCAAAGTTACGCCGAAATCAAATTAAATGCCAACACCAACAGCATGGTTTGCACCGTTTCAACGGTCCGTGTTGCACGATTTCGCGATTTTCGCCACATTGGGCTTATCCACTTGACCTGCAAATGTGCGCAAGCCATGCGAAATCGACCCAACGCACAAGAGGGGCTTGTAAATTTTAAATTTAAAACAAAGGTTGCATCGATATCTCAATTGCAGTGCCAATTAAAAGCGTAAATGTCTCCTCCATACGTGTGTTTATACATCTCTAGATGCCGCGCTCCCAGGCCTGCATTTTGGCAACATCCACAATCACATACCGCCGATACCATTTTGAGGATCTCCAGAGCTCGATTGTCGGTGCTTTCGCTTCACAAAGAAACGCTGTAAAATCAGAATCAATCACCGCCTCAATCAGGACAGAATTCGAAATTTCCTGGAAAATCAAGTTGGACTCTATCCACGCCGTCCCGCCAGGTATCAGTAGCAGCGACAAAGAGGGCCTAATCCAGTCTATCAACAGATTCTCATTGATCTCTTGCATGTGAAATAGATTCACGTGAAATGAGGAAACCCCGACAAGCTTCGATATTCGCTCTCTGGTGATTTGAGAATTTTCGGAAATCGCGAAACGCCTTGCATTGCTCTCCTCCCTTTTCACAATGAAGGCAATGAAAAGGAGATCAACATCATCCCGGATACTGGTGGACCGCAATGCCTTCAACTGCTTGCATATTGCATTGAATTTCACCGTCGATTCTTCCACCAGAACGAGTATCAATGTGATGAATTTTGTGTTAAATTGAGGAGGCACCCATTCGCTGCACACGTTTTTGCATCTGTAAATCGACAGTATGGATATTTCAGCATCTGTGGAGCAGATATTTAAAGGTGGAATACAGGCCCGAGTCGACCAGTCCAGAAATACAATTCTGAGCGGCAGAGGGCTAAATTTACAATCCCCAAACAGTGACGAATGAAACTCCAACAGTCTCCCTTGAGACAAAAGTGGTAGCTTCAATAATATTGGATTTTCTGTCTCTCCCGAATGGGATGAAAGCAACGGGAGTAACCTCGAAGATAGCTGTGTAGTGGCGATGAACTTTCTCCACCTAAAAAGAACCTTTTTCATCAGCGTATGTTTCCTAAAAGAGCAGATAAATTGGTCCATAAGGATTTCCTTGTAAACAGCCACCATTATGTGTTTAGAAATGCACTCGGAAATGTATGATGCGCGCCGTCGAAGCGCGCTAGCAATAAATGGCCTTAGAATTGTGCAAATCGTTTCGTTGATGATTTTCTTTGAAACGTTAGCAGAAAACGTAATGTCAATGGTACCCAGGGCACTCGCGACAATCAAATCTTTGTTTCGAGACAAATCTACCTTTGGGGCTGAGCTTTCCATAAAGCAAAAATTGCTCTTTGGTGGTGCACTTTGCGTCTGGATGGGGGGGATTGGTTGCAATTGCGGGTCTGAAATAGATGGCGAAATCACTAATGGTCCGATGTCTGGTGCCGCTGTAATTGCCAAAATCAAAGCGTCTTCATAAGAGTGGCTTGGTGCAATTTCGGTGAGTTTGGCATCAAAAAGCTTGCTTCTTATGGATGCGGTTGTCTCTGGAAATGAAAATTCCTTTGAAAATTTTAAAAATGGCCCCATCTCCACCACGTACGAACACTCAAACTGCGAAAAAAAGGTAGCTGCCTCATCAATATCTGCAAATCCAAACGGCACCAAAAGATCGGCGATCAAGATGCTTTGAGAAACAGGCGCAGAGAAAGAGGCGTGGAGCTGCTCAAGCAGCATCAGCCTCATCCTATTCATGTGGGCTTGTGCAAAAGAAGACAAAACCAGAGCCGTCACTTTGGAGCAATTCGGCGGTCCCGCGATGGCTCGACGTATCCATCCAGACGCATCTTTGGTGTGGAATGCAGCCAGAAGCGAGTAGGCCCAAGCCTCCACTCCAGAAGGCGGTGTGGTCATCGTGGAAGCGCGAAGGGGAGTGTCCTCAATTTGGGTCAATATTTTCATGGCCTTGAATTCGATCACCTCCATTGGGTGTTGCATTAGGGCTACCAATTCGCCAAGAGTCGTCAAAGTCTTTGAAAGCTGCTCTCCATTTTGAAATGGATCAAAGTCTGAGCGGTCCTCTTCGCACAGCTCATGGGCAATGAGGGCGTGAAATCGCGCCATTGCCAATCCAACAATGATGGCCTCACGCCCTTTTTTCACTTGCCGTGAAAGATCCGCCCGAAGTGCTCGTCCTCGATCTCGAATAAAGGCAGCTCGTACTGATAAGGGAACATCTGCGCGCCCTAGCACGCTGGAGCTCATAAGAAACGCTAGGGTCTTCATGATAGTTTCTGGCGTTCTGATTTCTGAGGCTTTTGGGGGAGGAGCCCCTGCTGCTGGTCTTCGAAACTTTTTCACCGCCTTGGCGGGGTCAATTTTGCGGTGAACATTTGCCGCAATTGCCTCGTATGATATCGACCCGTTCATATCATCCGCCTCCAGCGGATGAACATCTAAACATCCCTCTCTCTCAACGCATTCTGCAATTGAGCACATCTCCGTACATGATGGCACAAAAATGGTGTCATCCTCATGCACCTTTATGTCTCTTCCAGTGGTTGGTGATGCCGTTGATACGAATCTGCTTGACCTTTGCAATAATTTTTCATTTGATGACACATCAGAAGTGGCATAGTCACTGAGCTTATTCTTATTTTTCACCTTTTTATCCCTGGCATTGTATGGATTGTTGTTTTTCATATGCTAGCGAGAGGGTGGGAGGAGGCGGTCGGTATTAAAATGTAAATTAAATTCTTCGGACGTTAAATTTTAATGGCCTATTAATTGCTGAATTTCAAAGTGCAGAATTTAAAAAAATGACCAAATCAAAAAAACCAAAAGTGGCAAGCTCCAAGGAGCCGGTTTCTGCCTTGAGAAAGGTTGTCCCTCATTCTGCAGTGATAAACAAAAAGAGAGACCCCCGATTTGATACGGAAAGTGGCGCATTCAATGAAGATCTTTTCAAAAAATCCTACCCATGGCTCAAGGATATGCATGCACAGGAAAAGGCACATTTAAAAAAGCAGATTGACACAACAAAAAATCCCGAGCTAAAGGGAAGCCTGAAAAATCGGCTTACCTCATTGGAATCAAGAGACCAGCATATAAAAAAGAAAGAGGAGGAAAAGAACCTGCTTAGAAACATCAGAAAGGAGGAACGAGAATTGGTTGCACAAGGAAAACGTCCTTTCTATTTAAAAAAGTCAGATAAGCAAAAGCTGCTCCTGGTGAGCAAGTATAAAAAGGCCGTTGCAGATGGCGCAAATATACAGGACATTTTAGAGCGGAGACGTCGACACACAGCTTCACGGCAACACAAAAAGTTGCCGAGGAGAAAGCAGGCTCCTCAAGAACAATAAATCAATTAAAACTCGTCGTTTTGGTCCTCCTCTTCAAATATGGAATACGAAGAATCAGAATCGTCCTCTTGAAAATTCCAAATATCGTCTTTCTCATCTTCATTGGCGAGTGTAGACGTGGGGGGTTTGGTGGACGGTTGAGCAGACAATCTTAAGGAGCCGCCTCCAGACCTCAGCGGATACTCCTTTATATGAACTCTCCATTTTAACTTGAGCATTGCCAAAAGTTTGGGCCTGCATTCAGGTCGATACCAGCCGTCTTTGGGACAGCAAGAACTACCATCGGGCAAGAGGGAATTTGGCGAATCGAGAATCAACCTAAGAGCAGGATCTAGAACATCGCAAAATTGGAATACGATGTTTCCTTTTGTACAGGGAAGGCGGTCTGCCTCAATTATGTGGCTATTTGTAGAAATTGGGGTATTTTCGCCAGAGCCTGTAAAGCACCGTACTTCGAAGATTTGATATTTTGCCATATTGCGGTCAAGGCATGGAGAAACACCATATCTAACCCAACAATGCCGCCAGGGGCCTTTTGGATAGTAATACGCCACCAATGGAAGCTCTCTAAAGGAAAGATAGATCAGCTACCTTCTCAATGAAATTGGCCTTTTGAGGCTATTTTTCAATGCAAGGCTTGTCCATATTGGTCTCTCCGCAAACATCTAATTGCAAATCAACTGCAGAAAAGTACTTGTAGGAGCAATTCATAAAGGTCGTCTGATATTTTCGGCCTATATGCGGAGAAAAATTCGTCGGGGCATTCTGTCAGGCAAGCAGGTCTATTATCATTTGGATCGATTGAACAATAATAGAAAATCGATTTTTTTGACCTTCTTCTATGAGACATCAGGGAAATTTCTTTTTTAAGGTAAGACGAAGCCGCTTGATTAAATTTAATGGGAGTTGGGACAGAGCTCAGCGTAAAAAAGGGCGGTGGAAAGAGAATCTTTTTCAGCTCGTCTTGACCGAGTTTCATGCGAAGAGAATCAGAGAGTTTTTTGACAAAGTCTAAATTTAGGGTTCGAGGCTCGCTTTTCAGAACATCAAGGGCATCCATCACGGCCAAGTCGTCAAGTTTGGGTAGAAATGAGAAATCGGCCATATCTACTTTTTGAGTGACGTATGTTACCTCGAAACAGGCAAATAGAGCTTGAAAATCCAATAATTGAAATCTTTATGATCTTATCAGAACAAGGGCATTTGGTCACTCGAAGCACAATAAACCTATTACTCTTTGACGACGTCAGTGGAGACACGATGGATCCGATAATTGGATGGCTCCATGGATTATGACGCTGACCAGGATTGATATTTTTTGCCGGGACTTTTAACGAGACTCGCCCATATAGACCACTTTGGTTTCCTGTGGAAGCTAGGGATTGATCATAGGCCTACATTGAAAATGACAGCTTAACTTTTCTGTATTCAAACCAATTGACACATGAAAGCGAATTTTCCGTGCACGAAACAGTTCCAGGCAATTCTATTAGTGAAATAGAGCCATACGCTTGTGAAAGATTTTCCAACCGAAAGATTTCCTTGGCTGGCATAATTGCTTATAAATAAAATGGCCCTGAATTTGAGATTTTTATTTATGAAATTTATCTTTCCTTTGGAAAATAGGATACTTTAGTACGGCTAGCCAAGTGAGAACCCCATATGTATGCATCATATATACATGCGTACAGACATGCAGTTTAATTTGCCATTGCTGCAGCTACCGTAGAGCCCCGGGTGTTTTATTAATAAATTTTTGCCATTTTGAGCGGTTGCAGCAAAGTATAAAGTTGCACTTTAAATTGCTATTTTAATTTAAATGGCTGGCTCTGTGATCGAAATCTCCACTCTTGATCAATTTCAAGAAATTCTCAAAAAGGATAAATATGTAAGGTGGTGTTTTCATTTTAGGTTGTCGTTGATTTTTATGCCGATTGGTGTGGCCCCTGCAAGCAGCTTTCACCAAAGCTTGTTGCGCTCGCCGAAACCGAGACTCAAGTAACGTTCGTTAAGGTTGACGTCGATAAATCCAACATTTCTTCATTGGCCACCGAATACAAAGTTTCGGGAATACCCGCGATTTTCTTTATCAAAGATGGAAAAGTGGTATCCAGCGTTGTTGGTACCAATCTTCCCGAAATCAATAACAAGCTTAAGGCTCTGTTACTTTCTTAATTGTCCGGTTTATTATCACATAAGGATTTGAATAAAGAAATCACATTTTTTATCCCTTCAACGTACTCCTTTTGGGTGGCTACTCCAGGTGTCAACTTTGAATGTGCAAAATCGACCAAGGCACATCCGATCCGCTCAGCAGAGCCGTCATAAAAAATTAGCAACGAAGAGGAATACAATTCCGCTTCACATTGGCTTTCTAGCGGATAAAATATCCGCTCAGAGAGCTCCTTTTGGATTAATGTAGCAAGGATGGTGCGATCTTTAGGAAGAAAAATCTTCATCCCATGAGATAAAGTTTCTGAGGAGACATTAAAGTTAGTGTTGCAATAGCTCTTCGCATAGAAAGTATAGCTTTTCCCGTCCCAGATCTAAAGAAAGGGAAAAAAAATACCTTCATGCCGGAGATCCGGAAGAATAAGTTGCGGGAAGTTGTCGACAACGATTTTCGAATCATCTTCTCCCGTTTTTCTTTGCATGCTTCATCATCATAAGTACGTAGTCCTATTTTGATGTCGATGATTGATGGACTTTGATAGTCTGATAATAAATCTTCAATTACAATGTACTTTTTGTCGGTGAGAATTTCTTTAAACACCCCGTAGTACTTTGGAATGCGAACGTTGGGGCAAGCTAGAGATACGTTTTCATAAAATAAGGCCTCCTTTTCGCAATATTCCTTGGCAACTGCTTTGATGGTCAGCCGTGTCTGTGGATCTATCAAAACGGACGAAAAAAGACTGCAGGCATGGCCGGCAACCTGAAACTTATAGGGAGATAGCAACTGAAATTCCATGAAATTTTTTTATGTCAATTCTTTTTAAAGCAAGGGGGACACCGCTTGAAATTTTCAAGGTTTTCATTATCGCTTATGGCCTAGTTTACATTCTACTTACTGGTGCCAATAGGTGCGGCATTACTAACCACAAACAAAGAGCTGGCCGCTTATTGTCGATCAAAGGTAAATCATGTGGAACATTGCACACCATCAACAATCCCTTCCAGGATATCTTACCAATTTTAGTATGGATTTGCATTTCCCGAAAATGTCGCATCAATGCAGAAGCACTACAAGGAGGCCGAAGGCTCTGACTTACTTAATGTCGCTTTCCGGCAGGAGTATGCTAGTAGGTTGGAAAAGAACCAAAAATGTACAAATTAAATTTTATTTTTAATGGAAAAAAATTCATCCACCTCAAATGAACACGCTATTGATGCAGAAAATTTAAAAAGTACGCACCGGTGTCAAGAACATGCCAATTTGAACATGCACCAAGATATCAACAGGGTCTATTCTTGCAGCGGCATGGAAAGCACCGAGCCTCTTGAGGAGGGCTCGTCGTCCGACTGGGAACCGGAATTAATTCCTACCGACGATGGAAAGGCATTTGATTTTCACGAGGAGTTTGAGGAATCTGCTGAAATTTCGCAAACGGAGCACGAATCTGTGGAGTATATTGGCAAACCGCTACCGATTCCCTTTGAGGTTGTGCCTGACGAGCTTGATATCATACCCCTGGGAAGCATTCAAAATGTCATTGATTTCCTTATTATTGTGCAACAAGACGCAACGGCGGATGATAAAAATTGTGCCTTAGACTTGGATAGCTTACTTGCTATGCATGGGTCAAAAATTGTGCTCGGCAGGGTAGTCGATACGTTTGGCCCAGTTAAGCGGCCCTCGTACGTGGTAAAAGGAAGCGCAAAAATATTGGAAAACATTTCAAAAGAAGAAATATCGGCAATCGGTGCAGTAGGATATGTAGCTGAGCATTCACGCGTGGTTCTTGCGGAAGAAATTAAAGCTCTTTATCCCGGGTGTGACGCATCAAACTTTTACGATCAAGAAGTTCCCCTGTCCGAGCAAGAAGTATCTGATGATGAAAAAGAAGGCACCAAAAGGCAGCATCAAAAGAACAAAAGACGGCCAAGTAACTGTAAAGAGGAAGAGAAAATTAATATTCCATCGCCATCGGAAACGCCTTCTTTTGATTCATACTTATCATCGATTATAAACCGCGAATACGAGCCTCTAGAAAGGCCGTCAAAATCCTACCAGTGATGTTATCGTTGATATGACCGTTATTTTCCAATCACAATCAGTTATCTATCAGACATGAGAATCAATGATAATAAAAACAAGCAAACCCTAAACGTTTAAATTCAATTTTGAGCACTAATCGGTCCATCAACACAACTTTTTTGATTTGCCAATCGGTATGAATTACGTGAAGAGGCGAGCGGGCGTTTTGTTCGCATTGTTATTTCTGGGCTCCATTTTGAGTGTGGTAAGAACACCTATGCTTCTCAACTTGCTAATAATTAGACATGCAACGAAACAAATTTAAAAGATGTTTGTTCGCACCCCACGGAGCAGCTGTACGAGATCAACCGGCCTTTGAAGCGATATCTAAAATCGCTGCTGAAAACGTACTATTTTCAATACATCAAGGTATGCCCGCTTTTTGCTGCATTAACCATGCAAATGCCTTTTTTTGTGCTCCATTTGGCCTGCCATTAATATCGTGTGTAGTTAAATTTGCAACGAGAATGCCCTTTTTTCAAAAATAACCCAGTATGCGCGTCTGAAGCGGCTTGCAAAGCAAGCTCTTCTTCTCCAGCCATTTTTGGAAACTTTCCTTTTTCTTGGAGTGCCAAGGAATCCAGCCGACTGGACGATTCTCCGGCCGACCCTAATGTTAACTTTGCGCTATTCGAAAGAGAGACGGAAGAATCTGGCCCATCCGGGGCATTATATTACAACTTGCTTGAAAATCCGGAGCGATATACCGGCTACTCTGGTGGCGATGCCAATCGAATCTGGCATGCCATTTATTTGGAAAACTGCCACTACATAAACGAGCCGATAGGGTCCAATTTCTCATCCGCTCCAA